GGCAGTCCGAGTCGCGTTGTCCCCATACTGGAAAGCGGACCGTTCCGACGGATGTTAAGCTTGATGTTGCCTTCTTCATACTCCTTCTCCACGTCATTAGTTGTTCCTTACGGCACTTTTTTCAACCGTTTCCGGGGAGCGCAAATAACGCTCGACGGGGAAAGCGATAGGCTGGCATGTGCAATATGTGGCCGAGCCAAAGCACGCGGTGTTGGAGAATAACGGTTTGGTGGCATGTGCTGGTTACTCTAAACACGCGCTTGGGATTCTGTGTTACGTGACGCTGCCATCAAACGCGAGCAATGCTATGCAGACAACGATTGTCAAAACTGACAATCTCTTCATGTCATCCGAGCGAACAGACCAGATCTCACAACTGTACAAGAGAACCGCACGGACAGAGGCATTGTACACCCCGCCCTCCAGCTTGAGACTGACACTGTGACGACGCCATATGTCTCAGTCTGATGAATACAAGGCGGGCTTTGCGATCCGTTGTGAGACCTCATCTCCAACACTGCTACCAGCTGTGATGCGGCTCCCTAAAGCAAGATACTGAGCGTTACAGTATAAAAAATTAAAAAAGCAAGTAATACAATGCTGAGTGCAGTATTATCCATGCAGTGTGAGACCGTTGTTGGAAAGGGGAACTAAACGGGAAGGGACGGGACAAAAAAGCTTATAATACAAACGCTACTGAGGTCGGCTCCCAGCCATATCAACAAGCGTATCCAACCAAAGGTGTCCATCGTCCTTTGGACCCCAGCCTGGTAGTCGGGAGACACCAATCGAGGCCACGTTCGAAGTGAGCGTCTTCAATCCTCTTGACCAAGTCATCGCTGGGCCTCTGTTCTTCCATTCACACCCGCGGCGCGCAAACAACCAGCGTCACTGGAGTCGGTGTGCTAGTATGCGCAACACGTAGCCTATCCATCGGAGCCCGGTGCGTGATATAATGGTGCTGAGCGGTTCACTTGATCTTCTTGTACCAAATACGCGAAGAGGAACAGGCGCATTGCTCAAGCGGTGTTCCCATCAGACATGAGCTAAGCTGTGTAGATAGTGATGTTCGAAGGCAACTATCCTCCTTAGGTCTGCCTATTTGATAAGCCAGATTTCACAATTGCACAGAAGGGTCGAATGCACGGTCGCATTGTAAACTCTACCCTTCAGGATGAGTGATGTTGCGCTGATGCCACAAATGGCAGAGAATGACAAAACCACTACGAGCTTTTTCCATATCGTTTGTGATTTCACCTTCTATTCCATTGGTGCAAATATAGATGCCTAGGTACTTGAATGTCTATATGAGCTGATCACCACCAAGGGTGAGCACAGGGGTGGATCTCTGACAATCTTGGGAGAGGAATTTGCATTTCGACAGTGCAAAGCATGGTCCGAAACGACTGACAGCCAGTGGTAATCTTTCCAGTGCTGCCTGGCACGTTTGGGAGCTGTTACAAATTAGGGCAATGCTATCGGCATATTCCAAATCAAGAAATCGGTCACTTTGAAGTAGCTCCACACCAAAATCGTGTCCAATGTGTGTCATTTCCATGAGTTCGTCAATCGCGAAGTTAAATGAGAAAGGTGACAGCGGGCATCCCTATCTCACACCACTAGAGATCCTATAAGGCGGCGACAGTTTGCTGAACTGTGCGCATAAAACGTTTTGATAATGTTTACCTATTTCTCGAGCACACCTTTCCTGATCAGGTAGTTCCAAAGGGCACATCGATCAACCGAATAAAAGCATCGGTGATGTTGAGCAACACGTCTACGGCAGATCGATAATAAATATGACGGTGTTCTAATTAGTGAAGTAATGTGAAGATGTGATGTATACAGCCTTGATTTCTCGCGAATCCGGCTTTAAGGTGTATCAATCAGTCTTTGGAGAATGACAGAGGCAAGCAACTTAGAGGCAATTGTGACTCGCAATTCGAACATGAACCTTTCTTGAAAATGGGAGCATCTCCACTCTGATGAGTCTCTTGCTCCCAGAGCTAAATCAGTAAGTGGTGCAATTCATCTACAAGAGAGGTCTCCTGAATTTGAAGAGCTGGAGCAATTCTAACTGCTCCTGCTGGTTTGTTCAAATTCAATTTCGATCTTACAACCATGCCATCGGCTCAGGCCAAAGAGGAGGATTTTCAACGTACCATGCAGTCCAATCACTGCATTGCAACCCGTTCCTCTTCAAAGCATGAACGGAATTATCCTTTGCAATACTTCTACAGGTAGTCCTAGACCATTCGTGCCTACCTCTATCAGACGTATAGTCTTTGACACCCTTCACGCTGTCTCATCCTGGCATTCGTACATCATTGAAATTAGTCACTGAGCGTTTCCATTGGCCAAGCGTAAACAAAGATGTTCGTAACCGGGTTCGAGCTTGTCTTCACTGTCAGCCCCCGAAGTACATCGACACACCCGTAGTCCCCTTGCCCCGTTTCCCACTCTGGACTTTCGCTTCTCGCATGTACATTATAGACGTGGTAGGTCCTATTCTCCCTTCTCGCGGATTCGTATATATTGTTACATGTTCCGACCGCTTTACTAGATGGCCAAAAGCCATTTCAATGACATTGCATGGCCGAGACTGCTTGGACTGTTGTGTCTCACACTACGAATGCCCATCCACCATCCCAACCTACCATGGGACGCCTTTCGAAGCTTCACAATTCGATCTTTCGATTCTCCCACTTTTTTGGCTGCTGCCGTATTAATACGACAACCAACGGTTTAGTTGAATGCTTTCCAAGACAGCTGAAAGCCTTACCTGCTCCTATTTAGACCGCAAGTGGAGCGAAAACATCGTTTGTACTTTTAAGTACTGGCAGCGGTATAAAAGCTGACTTGCGGTGGACACCAGCGGAGCTGGTTTGGGGCACAACACTAAAGCTGCCAGGGGAATTCGTTTCCCTTTCCGCATCATCGTGTATGTCTCTGTCAATCTTGTATCCTCTCTTGCTCAACGCATGCGTTCACTACACGCGATTCCCCATCGTGAGCAGACCAGATAAGTGAAGATGCAAAGCGGACTATCAATGTGAACCCACGTCTTCGTCCGTAATAACGTAGTGTGGCGAGCTCGCCATCGTTCGTAAACTGGATCTTTTAGGGCTATGCAAGGAATTCAGAAACATTTCACTGTGGACCAGGATGGTCAGCAAACAATGGTGCCCATCGACAGACCCAGTGGCTTTTTTCAGCGACCCAGTTCCAATTCACCCAGATGCTTTCTTAGAGGCATCCGCACCTGCGGTGACGCCTCAAGGATTAATAATCCGAAACCCAGTTTCGCTTGACGCTCCGCCTATAAAGATTTAACCCAAGGCTCAACCAACAGGAGTCACTTAGAATGGGCAAATTTGACATTGCCGCCCCAGAGCATCTACCTAGCTCTCAAAGATCCCTATGTGGATGCTCCAACCATGGGTTCTAAAAATGAATTCTAACATTCGATAACGGCGCAATAATCGGCTATCTGCCATAACCCGACCGAAGTGCGACTTGTATAGTTTGACGGAGTTTACGAGTGTGTCCGCTTTAGGATCGAGGTAAGCAAAAACGACCATTCCAAGCACTGGAACATGGCAGTCAGCGCTATTGTTTCCGTATCGAAAAGTGCGAAAGGTTACAGTGGGCGGTCACAGATTCCAACACAGATAAAAAGAGGGCCACACAGTCGACGATCATCTGTCGCATAAAGTCGCTGAGATCACCGGCGCCCAAGTTGATTAGATGAATAGGAAAACTTAGCAATGAGTTTTCCTTCCTATCATAAGTAGGATGATCTTAACTAACAATTAATTTTTGCCTAGAAGACGGCTGGTAGCTTTCAGGAACGACGCCCATTCGTTGCTGGTAGCTCAGCTGGCATGCAACTTGCATGTATTTTCCTTTATGTATTGCGGCAAGTGTTTTCCACCTCTAACTAACGAGTATATTGGTGATGATGAGCCGTGCAACGAACTGCAACAGAACGTAAGCGAAAGTCTGTCACACATGAGAAAGACCTGGAAGTAATCGTCTCACACGATTTGAAGTTATCACTTGACACGCAGAAGCCAACCGAATGCTTTGGGCCTTGCGAAGACCGTTCTGTAAATTACGCCGGAGATCTTTAGTACGCTGTTTGCTTCGCATGTCTGTCCGAGCCTAGAATATGGTCTCCCGAACGCTTGGCCCCTAATGAAATCTGAACATGATCTGATAGAGAATGTGCAGAGGCGCGGTTCAAAATCTACATCGGAGCTTAGGGGTCTTCTCTACACTTAGACTTAAGACTTTGAACCTTTTCACCATGGAATATTGCCACTGTCGCAGATCTCCTCCACACCAGAAGCATCCTAAGGGGTGAGCTTGGAAGTGAGCTGCAGTTCTTCCATCTAAATGTGGGCAGTTCGGCACGTGGCCACAAATGGAAATTATTGCAGCCGAGGACATTTAGCGCCCTTCTGTAAGCTGCCCTATCTTCCAGTGGTAGATGTTCTGAACAGTCTGCCGAAAAACATCATTGACTCGCAGACAGAAGTTTCAAGCTATTGCTAGACACCCATCTAAGGCACATGACAGGGTCCTGCTGCTCCTACCTCACAGGTGATGGTCTCCGAGGGAGCAACGTTTCCCGACAGCTGAGCTGACAAGGGATCTCCCTCCTGCTCCCAATATTCCAACGCAAAAAGGCAACGTTCAAACCGCAGCGTAGTGCGTACAGCCGTAGTGATAGTACCTGGAGGCAAACGTAGCAACAATCACACATGGTCATAGTTACACTTAACCCAGGAAAGTAGTTCATGCAATGCCGACCACCTGGAAAGCAAAAGTGGTAGAGTTTATGAGCTGTTTGATTTAACAAGACAATTGCGGCAAACGGAATAGCCGCAAATTAAAATGCAACGCAGACGAGTGAATTCGCTAAGTGATTTCACAAATGTACCTACAGCAAGTAGAATGCTGCGACTGGCACCAATAGAAAAGCAACGTGCGCTTACCCTTGTTCTCTAGCAGACGGGCAACTAACTCCATCTTGGCTCCGGCTGTAGGCAAACTGTATCTTTTGCATAACTTTTTCAGCTCGCTCAACTAAGCCATTAGTGTGAGTTTTGAAAAAGTATAAGTAAACGTACTTTCAGCTTGGACAGCTCTTCTTCATTGACTAGAGAGTCAGCCATAAAAGGGTAGCTAGTCGCAGTCTAGGTCAGTTCAAAGTCAAGGTAAGGTCAGATTCCGATGCGACGGGAACTATAGGACAAGCCGTTGAATGTTCCTTCTTATGCGGATCGTTGTGACAGGAAATGATAAAGTGTTACGACCTCTTGTTGGATTTAGAACGGAACGCCCGAACCACCCCTTGGTCAGCCAAATACTGCGCACGTTCCCTAAACTGGCAAACCCAGCTGTGCAAGTCACCTGAAGTAAGAACAGCTAGAAAGAAAACGGATAAAGAAAAAGGTGTCATTTAGCTAAACGTTAATACTAAAGAGTGAGGAGAAGCGCATAATAGGAACGCGAACTTGGAGGATGAATATGGTCAGGAGAAGGGACATTTCGTTTTACTACCCAAGAGAGTCTAACGGACCCTCGAACATCGTAATTGTATGTTCACTGACTGCACTTTTTGAAAGAGCGTTGTAGCACACGATAACTCTACGCGATAACGGAGTTTTCACCTTTATCCGGTCGGAACGTGGCGTGTGTAGTTTCATGGAAGGTCTGCGAAGTCAAGACAACCCAGGCAGGCTAAGTAGCCAGCTCAAGTCCGGTCCACGATTCCCAGTTAAAATGAGGTAATTGAAGCCAGTCCCAGAGTCTGTCCACGGCATGCGGAATGGCTTCAGTACCTCCAGGGACCTATACAACATTAGTTACTTTCCTCAGCGCACGATGGTAATTATACCCCAAGCTCGCGAGAGATTGTTTACGTACATGGAGAACAGCCTCTCTCCGAGGACCGTGCCCTCTGAGACACCGCTCAGGAACGCTTGCCTTAAAGAGTAGCTGTGGTTTGAGTACACACAATCCTCTTTCTTGCAATAACGATGATACACAGTGAAACGTGCGGCCAGATAGACTGTAGTAGCTCAGCTTTTGTGACAGCTTCAAGTCAGGTACCTTGTCAAATGATTTCGAAAAGTCAAAGGGAAGCACGACCACTGCTTGCCCACTGTTCACTGCCACAGTCAAAGCTTCATGAGCAACCAAGGACTTCGTCCAAGACGAAAATCCCCTACGGCTGGCTAGCCGAACAACCTCGTGGTGCCAGCTGGGTGGTTCGGGTTTGACCCGTTCCAGCAAATAGTTCTGCGGCAGTGTTCCAGGACGTGGTGGATTTTCGCCTGGCAAGCGTTCTCCCTATAAAAAGCCACAAATGTCTGCTTAACAACACTGTGACGTGGCGGTCGTGACTCGCCACAAAATAAGGCCACTGCCCTGTGGGTATCCGAAAAATCCTTTCCAACGCACGGACATCCAGCTTCTACTCGAGCATTGCCGACGATATGAGAGTAAAAATTAGAGCAGCACAGTTACAAACAGGAATCTCACAGTTACACATCCACACACACACAGCTACATAATTACATACCCCTACATAAACATACACTGGTATGGCAAACATAACGTATTCTTGCACATTATTGACAGCGCATTGTTGTCATAATGATCATGCCTGTAAAGGCGTGCCTCGCCTTGTCGAGAATAAAAACTTTATTTATTTATTTATTTATTTACTGAGTAGATTAAACCTATGCAGGTGCCCTTCCAACAAACCACTCACCAGCTTATCAGACATGTTGGCCACGAAGCACCTCTTTGAGTGCACGCCGATAAATCCGATGCACAATTACCAATGTAACTGGCGCCAAGAAATTGCTACCCGCTACCGACAGTGCTTCTACCGCTTCGTCTACCGACTGAAACCTTTTGGTCTGCAAAACTGAAAATCGCAGCTGAGGTAAAGCGTGACGCCTCGTCTGGTTAGCCAATGAAGCCATTCCAGCCAAATAGTGCGTAGCCAGACAGATGTACTTCACAGTTCGTGATCTCCTGAGACAGCTATGACAGTATTACTGCTGATATATCCGGCTGCGACCTGTCTACAAGCAGACCTACCTCACACGTCTTGTTCCCTAGGCTGTGTACATTACTGGGCACCATTTGGAGGCCTCTGCCGTGTCCAGACATGGATTGTGCGCTACCGAAACGGACACCAGCAAGGCGGTAAAGGACAACCAGCTGATTCCTAAGACCAGAGACCCTATGTAATGGCTACTCATTTGCTGCTGAGGTCCTTAATTTCCTGTTTTAGCTTCAGCCTGTACACCAGCGTGAGAGCTGACTGGCCGCTACCTATAGTACACAGTTTAAAAGCAAAACGCAACCGCTCTTTGACTTCCTCCGGGAGGGATAGGGCCAACCGTTGCAATCTCGGCCAAAGGGTTTGGCGCGCTAACTGGGACGTTAACCAGTGTAGTCAGTTGCCCGACAGGAATGCCGGGAACCTCAGGTGGAAGCAGGTTCGTTACACCAATTTTAAACAACTAAAGGCCTTGCAATAAGAGTTCAGTATGAGGGGCGGCAGTGGCTTCTACCGCGCTACGGAGTAGCAAGGTGCTATCCATGAAAGAATCACCTCGCTTGGATGTCCATCCCAAGGAGATTTAAACGTACGTAAACAGCGGTCGGCTAAGCCGCAAGCAATGAGACTTAGTGCACATTAGGAAACGACACTGAAGCAACTGCAGCCTTTGTTTTGGGCTCTTGCTTCTTTGATTCTTCCTCGTGGTAGTTTTCCTAATTAACCTGAAAATTTCGGGCGGTTTTGTTCCGCTTTTTCCTTTGACCAAAAGGGAAAATGTCCGCGACGTAATGTTAAGGTCAGTTTCCACGAACTGCAGTTCCGGATGACAGAATGTGTCGCTTAGAACAGTCAACTATGCATATACGACCATCTACTTGGCTGGCGATGAAGACACCAGGTGCTTTCCGCCCCCTGCCTGAACAACCTTGGACAAAGCTTTGGTAGCGGGATTAGGCGACTTCTAGATAGCTTTCGTGGCCATGTAGCGGATTTGTTGGCTAGGATTTAGCTTCTTTCGGATTAGAGAGAGGAATGCCGACAGTAATTATTTTGTCATCATGATTCGCATCAACCAGTGCGTTTGACCCGATGGAGGGCACCACCGCTTGACCAACAAAGCTGATCTGCCCGTTTGGCTGCATCAGGCTAAATTCACTGAAGAACGGAAGTGCCTCGATTAACCAGTCCATATTATGATCAAGTGTGGTGACAATAGTGGTGACCACCGAGTGACTTCTAAAAACTTTGCGGCCTGGTGTCAAGGGTCTCGACGTCCCTACCAAAACACACGGAAGGGGTTGTTGGCGTCCACGACAATTAAGGCAGGTAAAAAGCACTTCCACTACTCAGAACTGGAACGGCTGCATATATATTTATCTTTATATGTTGTTATATATATATATATATATATATATATATATATATATATATATATATATATATATATATATATATATAGCTGAACAACTTCTCCGTGTTTCAAGCTAGAGGTTCGGGTTTACCCCGTTCCAACAAATAGTTCGGCGGCTGTTTTCCAGGATGCCGTGGGTTTGCGGTTAGCAAGCCTTCACCCACAGAAAGTCAGGAATGTCCGTTTAAAAATACTGTGAAGTGGGTGTGATGATTCGTTACTGAATAAAGTCACTGCCGCTCGTTTCAGAATGGTGCAGCATTCTCTTCTGTATAAGCAATGCAAATCCACGGAAGTCAAACGTCCATTAACGTTTGCGACACGTTTAGACACAAACAAAGCATCAAAACTTTTACGAAACCGAGCAACAGAGCTACACACGCCTAAACACCTACATACATTTAGGTACGAGCAGATATGACCCTCCTATGCCAAGCCTATCGTACAGTTTTTGTTAACCTTCTGCGACCTTCTTACAATCATGCCTGTGCAGTGTGCCTGCTTACCTGAGAATATAGTATATTTATTTAGTTCCTAACTTATATGGTCAATACAGCGGCCAAGGTAAGTGCCATAGGCTCATGAATTTGGCATTTTGCTCTCAATTTATGCCCACTTGGCCCCACATATAGCCTTATTCGAGTTATACATGTGCCGCTTAATATCTGAAACACTAGTAGACAGGCATCAACAATTCAGCTTCTCTCCTACAGCCGCTTTTTATAACAAAACATAGCATTTCAGCTTCCATTTCACCGTCACAAAAGCTAACCAGCGGCAGAGATTCCCTCGTCACCCTGGCTGGCTGGACATCCAGAAAGTTTTGACCACCACGTTATCTCACACTGGCCGTCCATACGTAATTTTAGCTTTTACCTAGCTCCCACTCTACCGGGCGTTATGCGTAGTGATGGGTACCCAACCAGCGCGCACTTTCTTTTCCGTATTCTCTTACACTCTATTTACATTATCACTCTTTGCTTAATGTAGCGCCCAAAAAGATAACTCTTATCTTTCATGTACAAGTCACTTGGTGACCGATTGTACATTATTCCTTCCTGTTTTAATCTTCCTTACGACCGGCTACACACAACTGCCTTGTGAGCTCCCACGCGCATGTGTACGCTCTCGCCTCGCTTCATCCGTCCACGTTTTCTTCCTCGTTTGTATTTTTTGGTGAGTTCTTTCCTTTTTCTTGATTATATACCTGTATTCATTTGTTTTTTGCGTAATGTTAGTACTTTTATCGTATTTTGTTCATTCTTTATCTTTCGACTCACATTTCTTTTCACAGCGTAAACATGCTTACTTTGGCTGTTCCAAGTTTCATGGAACACTGTTCAGAGGTTTGCGCTAGTAGTTGTACTAGTATTAACTACTCCTACATTAAGTTACTAGTGTGTCCCTTAACAGAAAATCCAAAAACCTAATGGCGGATGTGACATCACAGTCTTAGTTAACATCGCCACCTCGCTGAACACCGCTGACACTCGCTACAGCCTTTAAAAATGGGAAAAACTCTGGAAGGCAAAAAGGTGCACACTAATGTGTACCAACCGCTGAAGCACGATGATCCCCCAGCTTCGAGCCAACTCAACCCCAGAACCTGAGTTGTTCATGCCCCACCAACGCAGACCCATATGAGGTACACTCGCCGAAGCGATTTGCTAATTTTTCCGGTA